ATAGCAGATAGAGTTGCAGTGTTAAACAAGATCCACACCTCAGTTAATCCAGCAGATTTTTCTCACTAAGACCGTACCGGGTCAAAAGTTCCAGCTATGTTGTGAGCTTGTTAACCTTCACTGAGAAAGGAACAGTCACGCCAGGTAACTCCAGAATAGACAAGAATACCTCCCAAGACACGTCACAGAACAAGGGATTACTATGTGGCAAGATCAGAGAGGATGAGTTACTCAAAGTGTTTGAAAAATTACTACTTGGCAAAGGGGATGAACTCGTGGTAACACTCACGTGTTCAAGGTGGAGCATTTTCACCAAGGAAGCAAACAGAGAGACAATTCAGTCATTGTTAAGAAGGCTTCATCAAAGGGAAAAGGTGATTCAAGGTTAGACTTAGCTTCTTTTAGTCGTGTCAAAGGCAAAGTAAAATGTGCAGGCGGAATCCGGTTGAACATGTTGTTACGACGTGTTAGATTTCTGGGGATGAAACAACAGTCATCAACACTTGTTCAAGAAATATAAAGTCGTTACCACAACTAGAAGAAGCTTGTGTGAGTTACATCTTAGAGGAATCTTCATGAAGTTTGAGTTAGTGGTTTCACATGAACGGGCTCAGACAAAGAAAACTGCAAGTCAACTTGGGTGGACAAAGTCACCTCAGAGTTAGAAGACTGAAGCTTTAGCATCATCAACCTCATCGATTGAGGTGGAGCTCATTGGAGCTCAGGAAGAAGAGACAACGACTAGGAAGTGTCGGCACAGAAACAGGGATTATGGACTTAGACCAAACATGTGGAGTTTTGTGAAGTTTAGTCAAGGCTCAATCGGATGGGCTGGCTTGCATAAGTTATGCGCGGACAACATATGGGCTTAGTCGACAAAGCCCATTAGGTTAAACGTTAATTTTATATGTGCGATTGGGTCAAGTCAAAGCAACGTCGTCTTCTTCTTCAGCCATAAGAGATCACGCAGAGAAATAGTCAAGCTACACAAGACTGATAGAGACATTAGTCCAAGCATAGAGAACATTGTTGAGCTTATATTGTTCTAGCTTAAAGGCTTTGAGACTACTTGTATCTTATTGGTGTTCTCTAAACCATCACGGTTCTATAAGTGATTGGTTCTTGTACTCTTTATTGATCTAGTGGAGTTTGGGAGCAAGAGTTCTCCCATGAGACATACCGAGTTAGAGGCCGGGAACTCGTTAAAGTTGCTTGTGTCATTTAATTAATCGTTCAAGTAACAAGTTGTTCGCTTAGGTTGAGAATCATACGAAGCTGAAAACGTAACAGTTTCTAAGCGAGAAAGAAAAATATTATTTCCAAGAAAATATGATAGAGAAGGAAAGTTATTGATTTAATTTTGTTTTTGAAAAAGTTATTAGGAGAGTTAAGAGAGAGAACTCACGATGATTTGACATAAAAAATAGATATTAAGATAGAATAAGATCTTAGCAAATTTTAGTATTGAATTTTACCTATATACAATTGTAGATTGCGTTATAATATATATTAGATTTTGACCCGCGCAACCGCGCGGGTGTTTGTTTTCGTTTATAGTTAGTTATATAAACATTTTGTTTTCACTTGTAAATTGGTATATATTATATTAATCACATATTTACGATATGTATAGTAAATGTTTTTCAAACATAATAATATTATATAATACATGTTTTAATCAAATAGATTGTTTAAATTTTTCTATATTATACATGTTTTCATGTTTGTTTCTTATTCTATATTTTATTGTTTGTTAGATTAGTATTTCATTTTTAGATAAAGTAATATAAATAGAGTTTGATTAAATATTAGTATACTTTAATTTGCAAAGATAATATAAACTTCGAAAAATTTTTTTCTAAAAACTAAACTTATAGCTTCATAAATTAATATTATAAATAATTTTATTAAAAAATATTTTTTTAAACAATTTCTTTTTTTAAACAATATAATTTTAAAAATTTATATCGAAATAAATTTATCTAGTATATATAGCGTGTAAATTTTTTTAGGGTATATAAATATTCCATATTACGAATCTGTGATTTTTGTTAATATATTGTGGATGCATTTAACTATTATTGACATATTTCCTTATAAATAATAGAAGATTCCTAAACTTATATCTATTGACATATTTTGCGTGACTAAGTTGGAAGGCGTGGAGTAATTTACCAAAACTAAATTGTTAAGCGTATCTTTGTTATTATATATATATATATATATATGATTTTTCATAAGATATAATAATGATAAGATTATTAGAAAGTTAATGTAACATGACTTTCTAGTAATAGTTCATTTTTAAAAAAATCACACATGAAATCAAATCATGATTTTTGTTTTAATATATAAGATATAGGGGTAGTAGTATCACAAATAAATATACACAATGATCAGAATTGTGATAATTGGTAAAGAGCTAAATAGCAAAGCATAGCTCCTAATTTCTATTCTAGTTAAGCATAATTCAGTATTTACATGTCTTTTTGTCGGCTTCGTTAAGCAGTTAAGCGTATACAGACAAGGGGGACGGCAGATGGAAATAAACTCTTAAAATCGGGTTTAAAGTATTGATATAATTTCGTTTTCTTAATGAAACTATCAAAGTATTAATATAATAATTTAAGAAAAGATGCTGGAAGATATTTTTTAAAAAAGAAGGAGAGAAGTGGCACATTCGGGCTCTGCTCTGAAATGGAGAAGTGGGGGATCTAGATGCTAAAGCACGCGCGCACGCCAAGTGGAGCCCACTCGTTGACCTTTATGTGACCGGGAAAAATATACAACGGTGAAGGTCATAGCCAAAGGGGCAAGCAAATACTCAAATCAAGGCAAAGAAAAATATCTCAAAGTGGTTTGTCACTCTGATGTGACCGTGGCTCCCTGCCTAAAATAAGTCAAATACCATTTCAACTTCTTTCTTCCATTTTCATCGCTTTTATATATTCTAGGAGTCAATTTGTATTATTCTTTTTGAAAAAGAGTCAATTTGTATTTCCTCGTTAGTTGGTGTTGTTACTTCTCAATGTGTAATACATTTCGTTACAAAACACGTTAAACTGTGCTACTTTTTCTTTTTGAAAATCGGCTTTTAAACTGTGCTACTTTTTATATCCTTTTCGTTTATTAGTGAAGGGTTCGGGGCCTAATTCTATTAAGCCATGATTAATGGAGAGTTTAGTGGGATGCTTAGGAGAGGATTCACAAAATTCAGAAATAATGTGAATTCAAAAAAACCAGTTGCTAACTGGTTTGAGTAAGTATTCTACTTTTGTTGGATTTGTACTGTTCATGGGTCTCGTAGCCACATAGCGACCCACAAATAATTCTTTTTTTTTATATAAATCTGACAAAAAAATAAAAATAAAAATAAACATTCCATATGGAGTGGTATGGTTAATCATGCCTTTAATCCTTCTAGAATGAGTGTTGTTGATAATAGATTTCACTGAATTTAAAATAGATATTTCTATACCACCGTTTAATCTAGAATTTGAAAAGATGGTTGTTTTGAAATATAATGTTAAAACGTCAAAAAAATATTATACTAAAGAAAATTATATTTTGGTTTTTGTTTCAAGTTATCAGTAAACGAATTGAAAGTAATTGTAAAAAGCTTTTGGTATAGTGATAAACATATGGTGTAATTCATACTAGATGGTTTGATTCCATTGCATATTACAGTGTCTGGCGTTCGTGTCTACCTTTAATGTTAATTAACAAATGCTCATCAATCATTATGAACATGATGCGTGTAGAAACGTTTCTTACGAATCCTCATGATCCCGATAAAATTTCCTTTGGGAGTCCTTTGTGAAAGTGCTAACAATATGCTTTCCATGTGTTAGGGATGAGGACAAATCAAATACTTGACATTTTTGGCTTACTTGGTATTTGGCTTAATTTGTTCGCGTAATGAAATTATATTGTATTTGGTTTGTTAAAAACGAATATTTACATTTTTAAATACTTGCTAAAAAATAGTATATTTGCAAATATTTGTCCCGTTTTACTACTTCTTATTTCGAAACTATTTATAAAAATTATATAACTATTTGTAAGTTTTTTAATAATAATTTATTAACTTTACCTACTTAAATCTTACATATGAGTTTAAGAAAAAAAAGTTAGTTATAATTCTAATCTACATAATGTTTTTCAATTTTATATGTTTTAAGTCGATATATGATAAATATAAATTAAAAAAAAACTCTAAAATATTTCTATAATATAACTTTTAATTCATTTATCCTATAAAAAAGTTGTTGGTTATAATTTAGAGATATTTTTGTCAAAAAGTAAAAATAGATAATAAATCAAGTAATAGGTTACGAGTAACAAGTCAACAACATCAAGTAGTTATTTTTATTTTAGTACTTGGTACTTGTCTTGTACTTGCAAGTAATTGAAATAATCGACTTGATACTCGATTTGAACAATACGAGATTACGAATACTCGACTTTAAGAGCCAAGTACGAATCAAGTAGAGAGTACAAACCGAGTATAAAGTAATTGTGCCCACCCCTAGTTTTAAGTAGGTAACTCGTTTATTTTGAATAATAAAACGGTGCATGTATTCATAAGGGTTGATTTTATTGTTCTTAATTCCAGAATGTATTTTCTACAATAGTTGAAGGAAACTTTACCCAAAGAAAATGAAATACTAGCTAGTAATAGTATTTTTTTGAAGTGTAATAATACCAGTTGAAATAAAAATATCTGGAGCTGGGTCTGACGTATGCAAAAGAGTCAGCGAGAGCCACCTGAAAAATGTCAACCGGTGTTTTTTTCACAAATAGTTAACGCAAACCGTACCAGGAAAAATAAAATATCCATTATAAATTGACATATATTTATAACTATAAGTATCTCTCTTGTGTGGTGTGGATCATCATCATTTCATGTGAAGCACAATCTGAGAAGTCAAAACAAATCAAAGATCCATCATCGATCCCACCAACATATATATTAGACGCTAAGTGATTCCAAAAAAGCCATGGGAGATCATCATGATTTCATCAACTCAGGAAGCTGGTGGAAAGTATCTTCTTCTTCCTCAACATCTTCTTCCTCTTCCATGAGACCAAGCTCAATTGAATCAGGCGGTTCTGCTGTTTTTCATGATAAGCTTCATGATCATCATTCACAATTACCTGTTGATCAATGGAACCAATCTCTTTTGTGAGTCTTCAAATGCTTATTTTTTGTTTGTTTCAATCATTATGAAAGCTTAAATATATTGTGTTTTTTTTTTCTTTGCGGGGAACAAAAGAAGAGGAGATAGTAAAGCGGAGACAAGCTTTGGAGTGACGCTTCAAGAGAATCTAAATTTAGATTCGACCTCAAACGCAAACGCTATTCAAGAATCTGATTCCTCTCACCACCAAGCTTTGTGGCGAGATACACAGATCAATAATAGCGATTTCAAACCGCAGCTAAATATGACGACCAGTAACCGCGGTTTTTTCTTGGAACATCAACTAAGCCCTCACGGGAGCTCAAGTACAGACAGTAGTACAGTGACGTGTCAAGGCTTCCCCGTTGACAACTCCTCCAACACTTTGTACGGAACAGCAACAAGTCCTAGTTCCTCTTCAGCTATGTTTCATCCGTCGAGGAACCATCAGCGAACAAATCTTGGGTACAGAAACTATGATCAGATGGCAACGGCTTTACATTCGACTTGGTTTTCAAGATCTTCGCCGCCGAAACCACACAGTCCTTTGCGGTTCTCTAACAACGCAACGTTTTGGAACCCTGCGGCCACGTCTGAAAGCGTGGGCCCTACTCAACATGACGCGTTGCCGAACCTTTTTCCGGCGTTACAGCCACCTCAGATTCACGCGCCGAGTTTTGACGAACAACCTAAGGTATATGCATGAGCTTGTTTTTTTTTTTTTGTGCACATGAGCTTGTTTTTGTGCACATGAGCTTGTTTATATATGTATATAACATGTTTTATATGTATATTTTTTTTTCGCTGTAGAGTATGACGAAGGTTCGTGATTCGAGTAGCAGTGAAGTAAAGAGAGATGGAGGTGATCAGCCGGTGTCTAAGAGGGCCAAGAGCGAAGCAGCATCTCCGTCACCAGCTTTCAAGGTATAGTTTTCTTTTAAATAGATTTTTTTTTCTTTTATATAAAATAATAAAAGGTTCTTTTTGTAAGCTCAAGAATTTAGAGCTTGATAGATTGTTGCAGTGAGAAAGCTTTGGTTCGTGATGTGTGTTACACATGGAGAATGATGTGTAACACAAGATTCAGAGAATATAAAGGAAACGCTAAAAACGATGATGTGGAATATTTTCCATATGTTTGGTTGACGAAATTAGGAGATTTATGATGATTAAATATAGGGAAA